GAGCAGGACGAGGAGGAGGAGGAGGAGGAGGAGGAGGAGGAGGAGGAGGAGGAGGGGAGGAGTAGGAGGAAAAGGATGAGGAGGAGGAGGAAGAAGAAGAGGAGGAGGAGAGGGAGGAGAGGGAGAGGGAGGAGGCGGAGGAGGAGGAGGAGGAGCAGGAGGAGCAGGAGGAGGAGGAGGAGAAGGAGAGGAAGAGGAGGAGGAGGAGGAGGAGGAGGAGGAGGAGTAGGAGGAAAAGGAGGAGGACGACGAGGAGGGGTCCCTCCTGCTCCTGCCCCTGCTCCCCCAAGAGTCCCTGGCGCACCTCGGCGCCGCGGCGGGCGCGGCTCCAGCGCGCTGTCTGGCAGCGGTCTGGCGCGCCACCAGACGCAGTGCGTCTGCCGCGGGAGGTTCGCCTCGGCAGCCCGCTTGGGATGCTCGCGCGCGCGGGGCGCCGCCTGGGCCTGCCGCGGTGGGCCTCCCTCGCTCCCCCCCCTTCGGGGTTCGCACGGCTCCCCCTCGTCCCCGCCAGCGTGCCAGTGGCCTGTCCCTCCCGTGTGCACTGGAGGCCATACCGAGGGCGTTTTTTTGCTGCGGTTTTGATTACTCGGCGATCTGGCACGGCATTGCCGTTATCAGCTTCTGACCTTCCTCCTCCTTGTCCTCCTCCTCCCCCTCCTCCTCCTCCTCCTCCTCCTCCTCCTCCTCATCCTCCTCCTCCTCCTCCTCCCCCTCCTCCTCCTCCTCCTCCTCCTCCTCCTCCTCCTCTGCCTCCTCCTCTTCCTCCTCCTCCTCCTCATCCTCGTCCTGCTCCTCCTCCTCCTCCTCGTCCTCCCCCTCCCCTGCGCGAGCGTCGCACCCGACTAACGCCAGGCGTGGGCGACCGTTGGTCGGAGTGTTCGCCGGAGCGCCAAGCGAACGACGGGGCGGACGAGGCTGAGCACGCGCGCCGCCAAACGACGCAAAGGAGGCGGGCTGCGCATCCTCCGTTCTGCGCGCAGCACAGTCAACCAGTATAGGAAGGATGCGCGATAAGGATGCAAGGGCCTTGGACGCCCCTTTCGAAGCTTTTCGAGCGGGGCGCGGCAAGCGAAAGCGGCGAAGGATGGACTGAGGAGGCGAGGATGCAAAGGTACCCTCGTGAAGGTTTCCCATCCTTACTATCATGGTTGACTGTACAGCAGATTAGGTGGGCGAGCTCCTCGTTGGCCTCAGGACGGCCCTGGCGGGGCTCCGGCCAGGGCGCCACACAGAGAAACGAATTCTAAAGCTCCAGCGCCTCCCTGGCGAACCTGCCCGGCGGGCCCTCCGCCGCCTGGCGGGCAGGGCCACCAGCTCAGGATTGCTGCTTCGGGGGCCTTCAGGGATCCCAGTGGAGCCTGAAGGGTCTCAGGCGATTCCCCCAGCAATCGTAAGGAACTCTTGGCGAATATTTCATCAAGCCTGGGCACTTCTTCCTCAAGAGAGAGGGAGAGAGAGAGAGAGAGAAAAAAAAAAAAGAGAGAGAGAGAGAGCTTACGAGAAGTGTACGCGCGCATCCCACCCCCTCAGCAGGGTTATTTGGGGTGGGACGCGTTGTTGCGCGCTCGCGGCGTTCGTGTCCCAGCCCCCCACCCTGCCTCGGCTGCGCCCGAAAGCGCGCTTCCTCGCCTCTACCGCCACAGCGCCCCCAAAAAGGGGGAAGGTGACATGCATCGCGCTCCCAGCGGAAGTATCGGCGTGCGACTCGGCGAACGACGACGGTGGCGGACGACCAACGACGAACGTTTACAAACGGGCGACGAACGACGAACGACGAACAACGAATGGTGACCTGGACAACGGCTGACGAGGAACGACGAACGGTCCGACCGACGAACGACGAACGTCGAAGGGCGCTGCACATGTGGGCGCATCGCAGCGCGACCACCGCGCGGGTGGGTGGGCGGGGGGGATCTTCTGTATGAAAAGAAATTGAAAGGCTATCTCGACTCGCGCGTCGCAACGGCGGCGGTCTCGGCGCGCGATGTTCGCGCGGGGGTCGACGCGCGGCGCCAAGCAGCCTGCTCGCGCGACTGCGTAGGCGTCGCGCGCAAGCAAGCAAGTAAGGACTCGCGCGTCGCAGCAGCGACCCGGACGCAAATGCTCGCGCTGCGGTCGGGGCGCAGCGCTAGGCTGACTCTTCGCGCGAGAAGGGCAGCGCTCGAGCGCACGGAGGAGGACTCAGTGCGTCGCGTCGCCAGTGGTCTCAGCGCGCGATTTTCGCGTGGGGGTCGGCGCGCGGCGCCGAGCAGTTTCCTCGCGCGACTGGGCAGTGCTCGCGCGCGCAGGAGAGGACTCGCGCGCAGCATCGGCGATGGTCTCGGAGCGTAAGTTCTCGCGCGGGGGTCGGCGCGCGGCGCCAAGCGGCTTCCTTGAACGAGTTGGCAGCGCTCGAGCGCGCGGGTTCAGGCTCGCGCGCCGAATCGGCGGCGATCTCGGAATGATAATTCGGCGCCGTAGCTTCGATACGCGACAGTGATGGCGCCTCGCCACGCGACCGGACTCGCGCGCGAGCGCGCGGATGTCTTTGCGGATGCGCCGCAAGTGCGCCGCATATGCAGGCGTGGCGGTATGCGGCCACCGCGCGTGGGGTGGGTGGTCAGCATGCGAAGAAATCAGACGGCTTTCTCGGGGTCCGTCAGACCGAATCAACCGGTGTTTCCTGGGAGCTTTCTGGGCCCTCCTGGGGGCTCCTGTGCCCCATCCTAAAGCATTCTCGGGCCTCCTGGAACTTCCTGGGGCCTCTTGGGGCCTCCCGGGGCCTCCTGTAGTTTCCTAAAACTTCCTGTGGTTTCCTGAAGCCTCCTAGGGCCTCCTGGGACTTCCTGGGCCCCCGTGGTTTCCTGAGACTTCCTGGGGGAAGTCTGGGGATTCCTGGGCGCTTCCTGGATGCTTCCTGGGTGCTTCCTGGTGTTTCCTAGGGGCTTCCTGCAGTTTCCTGGGGCCTCCTGAATGCTTTCTGAAGCTTCCTGAGGCTTCCTGGTTCCCCCTGGAGCTCCCTGAAGCTTCCTGGAACTTCCTGGAGCCTCCTGGAGCTTCCTGAAGCGTCCTGGGGCGCCTGGTGAGCCCTGAGCGTCCAGGAGGGCCTGGGAGCGAGTCGGGGGCGTGTGGGAGCTCCGGGAGGCGTCTGAGCCACCGTTGGGGGGCGCCTGGGGAGAGGCTGGGGGCGCCCAGGAGCGCGCTCCTGGAGCGTCTAGGAACTCCTGGGAGCGTTTGGGAGCGCTGGCCTGAGGGACGCCTGGGGCCGCCGAGGAACGCTGGACGTTCCTGGGGCTGCTGGAAGCGCCTGGAAACGTCACCGGCGTCTGGGAGCGCCTGGGAGCGCCTGGGGCTGCCTAGGAACGATTGGGCGTCCCGCGTTTGGGAGCGCTGGGGGCCGCCTTGAGAACGCGTGCGCCTAGCTTGGGAGCGTTTGGTCGTTCCTGGAGCGCCTGGAACGGCTGGGAGCGCCTGGGGACATCGGGGAAACGCCTGGGACCGCCTGGGGAGCGCCTGGCGCCGCTGAGCACTCGGGCGCTCCTGGGCTCGCCAGGGAATATTTCAAGCGTCTGGTACCGCCTCGGACCGCCTGGCGAACGCCTGGGGCTGCCTGAAGATTTTGGGCGTTCCTTGAACGTCTGGGGGCGCCTGGGGGTCTGGGAGCGTCGCGCCTGGGGTTGCTTGGGAATGATTGGGCGCTCCTGGAGCGTCGTCGGGGAGCGCCTGGGAGCGTCGCGGGCGCGGAGCTGGTGGTTTTTACAAGGGATCGCAGCTACGGGAGCGCCGATCCTGTGATCTTTACAACATGAGGAGTCCGCATTCGGGACCGATCTCGGGACAAGCGCGGCAGACCTTTGGGACCAGATGGATCGTGGGCTTGTGGAGCCGGTGGGCATCCTGAGCTCCCCTGGATCCGATTTCGCTCCAGAGAGGGAGCAGTTCATAGGACGCACAGGGACATGTTGATGTTATGTCCTCCTTGGAGGCGCGCGTCCGACCCGAACATATAGCATACCCATCGCGTAGCACATCGTTTCCCAAGCGGTGTGGCCAGAAAGCGCCCGCCACGACGCATATACTAAGAGTTCTCGGTGCGCGCGTCGCCCCTGGGGGGGCGACGCACATATAGTATAAGTATTTTGGGGTACCACCGAGTTCATTCTTGAGCAGGGACCGACCGTCCCAGCATTCCTGTAGGCCTACCACGCCATGTTCTTAGAACCCAAAAATGCTCTAAGAACAAGAACAATGTACACATAAACCCGATGTGTTGAAACAAGACAGACCCAGCCAGAAATGTTCTAAGAACATTTCGCGGAAACCACAAAAGGTTCTTAGCACGTTGTTGGGCAGGCCTATAGGCACGCCAGGACGCTTCGCCACTGCTTGACATTCTGCGCTGCGCACAAAGGGGGGGGGGAAGGCGTAGCCCGCCTTCCGCACCGCTCGGAAGCGGGCGAGCCAACTCTCGCCCGCCGACGGAGGGCATCTGGCGCTCCGCTGCACGCTCCAGCCGCAGTCGCTCGCTGCCTGACGGTTGCCCGGACCTGCGCTCGCTCCCGAGAGAAAGAGAGAGAGGAGGGAGAAACAGAGAGAGAGAGAGAGAAACAGAGAGAGAGGGAGACAGAGACAGAGAGCGAGAGAGAAACAGAGAGAGAGAGAGAGAGAGACAGAGAGAGCGAATAATAGTAGTAATAGGAAGAAGAAGAATATAGAGACAGACAGACAGATAGACAGACAGACAGACAGACAGACAGACAGACAGACAGACAGACAGACAGACAGACAGACAGACAGACAGACAGACAGACAGACAGACAGACAGACAGGCAGGCAGGCAGGCAGGCAGGCAGGCATACGGACAAACAGAAGGACGAAGATTGATACAGAGAGAGGGGGTGGAGAGCGGGGGGAGGATAGAGGGACGGGTAGAGATCCTCGTCCGCGGCTGGCCGTGCCAGGGTTGCGCAGCTGCGGCTGGTGAACAGGCGCCTGAGGTCCTCCCGCACCCCGCGGTGCTCCTCCGGGCCGCGGGGAGAAGGACGAGGAGGAGAGAAAGAGGGAGAGGGGGTGGAGGAGGAGGCAGGAGGAGGAGTGTAGGGGATCCAGGCACCAACGGAGCAAAGGAGGCAGGAGGCAGGAGGAGGAGGAGGAGGAGGAGGAGGAGGAGGAGGAGGAAGAGAAGGTGGAGGAGGAGCGTGCGAGCCAGCCGTAAGAGCAGGAGGAGAGCGAGGAGGGCCAGCACCAGCAGGATCCATGACGGACAGGATCATAAGGAAGCGGGGGGGGAAAGGATGGGGGGGGAGGGAGTGGGTAAGGGCGGGGGGGGGAGGATGGAGGAGGGAGAGGGTTCAGCCCTCTGAAACCGAGGCGCCGACCTCAACTGTGGAAGCTCATTTCCTCATCCATGGGGTCTTGAACATCCGAACAGTTGTTTGCTTTGCGGCCAGGGTTGCCACACCTTGCGATGCGTGTGGCGCGGGAGGGTTTTCCACGCCTTGCGATTGCAGTTGACAAGAAGCTCCGAAGCCAATGTTTGGAGAATGTCTCGAGCGAGACTGGGGAAAGGGCAGCAATATAGAGAGAGACGCGGAGGTAGGACGGAAAGCCGCCATCGGGATCCTTCAGCATCATGCCTAATTCTGCCGGGCCCTGGGGTCTGCACCGCCCCCCCCCCGCTGCGCGGGGTTGGGAGGATGGCCCACCCAGGTAGTCCAAGATCAGCTCCACGGTGATGCAAGATGGCCCAAGTTGGACCAGTATGGCCCTCGGCATGCCTCCGAGAGGCCCCGGAGACAGCCCTAAGATGACTCGGGACGACCACTGAGCCTCTCCAAACGACACGCTGGCAGCAGCAAGCTTTAAACAGCTTTTCACGCCTGCACGGAGGGGGGCCACGACGGGGGGGGCACGAGGGGGAGCCACGAGGGGGGGGCCACGATGGTCAACGATTTCGGGGGCCAGGCATCACTAATTACTTGGCGTTAAGCAGGCTGTATACTGTAGCACCCCGCAGATGCGGATAAGAGTGAGGGGGCGGTGGGGACGTCGGCAGTTTGCGAGACTCTGGAGAAGCCCGCCGCAGGCGCCAACGTTTCACAAATTATGCAACGAGCCCGCCGCAGGCGCTGATTTGTTCGTTAAACCAATGTGGGTAGGTCGCGGGTGGGTCGCAAATGGGTCGCGGGTGGGTCGCTGTTGGGTCGCGGGTGTAGAGGGCAGAAAATCCACCCCATAAGAATCACCCCGATAAGCGAAGCCGTTTAGTAAACGCACACAAAGAATGAATCGAACAGGGCAGGGCTGTTTAGTAAACGCCCAGGGCCATTTAGTAAACGTCAATTGTCGGGTCCGGGCGGTTTCTCCTCCCTTCAGGGTGGATCGCGGGGTGGGTCGCGGGTGGGTCGCGGGGTGGGTCGCGGGTGGGTCGCGGGCGGGTCGCGGATGGGTCGCGGGGTGGGTCGCGGGTGGGTCGCGGGGTGGGTCGCGGGTGGGTCGCGGGTGGGTCGCGGGGTGGGTCGCGGGTGGGTCGCGGGGTGGGTCACGGGTGGGTCGCGGAGTGAGTCGCGGGGTGGGTCGCGGGGTGGGTCACGGGTGGGTCGCGGAGTGAGTCGCGGGTGGGTCGCGGGTGGGACGACGACAACAAAGAACCAACAACAATCAACAAACAACAAACAGCAACAGCAACGACAACAACAGCCAAAAACAACAACAACGCAACAAGCAGAATTGTCACCACGAATTCCCCAGTCAGCCACGCACCCAGGGACAATGAGTGACCGTTCGGCCCCCTCACTCTGATATATGTGTATATAGATATTGCACACATACATACATGCATACATGCACGCATACATGCATATAACTGTACATACAAACGTACGTACAAATATACATACATGCATAATTTCAAATATACATGCATGCATGAATGCATGCATGCATACATGCATGCATACATACCTATCTACCACCGACCTGCCTCCATATGCGCGCACATACGTACATGCATACACACATGCATACCTTAATGCTTATGTATAAACATACACACATACGCACATGTATACGTACATGTATATATGTATGCGTACATACATACACGCACATACTTATACATGCGTGCATACATACACACATGCAAATATACATACACGCATACACATACACACATACACACGTACACATGCATGCATGCATGCATGCATGCCTACATACATTCATGTACACATACATACATGCATACATACACATATACATACATAGATGTGTACCTGTGTACATACATGCATATACCAATTTACACATGCACAAGTACACACATACACACAATGCTTAGCTTAGATGCATACATACGTGCATGCACCCATATGTATATATATATATACAGACATACATACATACACATAACTACATTCAACATACACATACATACATGTACACATACGTACCTACAAACCAAGATACATACACACATGCATGCCGGCATACATAACCGACAGCTCGCGATAATAACCTCCTGGTGATGATAAAGTTCGGGGTCCATGGGGGTGCAGACGCGCTGTTTAAGGACATGCTATACACCAAACAAAAAGCTTGCCCTTTCTGTGTGGTGTCTCATCTAGGTTGCACCCATATTTGATCCACAGTCTCCTGGATCGCCCCAGGACGGCCCTCCAAGAGATCCCCAAATGATTCCAAAAGTGCCCCTTTAGAATTCCCAGAGGCCTCCAAGAGGCTTCCAGAGGTCCCCAGATCGGCTGTTGTTGGGAGCTAACCAGGCTGACTCACCCAGCTTCAGGTTGACCATCCACTGCAAGCTCTGAACAAGCCTTTCATTTCAGGCTGACTCGGAGGTCTGCTCCGGCTGATCCCGAGCTTCGGTTTGACGGGCCCCCACTTGAGCCACTGTATACTCTTTACAGTTCCCTGTTCAAGACACATCACAGAGGAGGGCAGGAGAAGGACGAGCAGGATGAGGAGCAGCAGGAGAAGGACGAAGAAGAGGAAGAGGAAGTGGAGGGCTGAGGGAGGACGGCAGGAGGTGGTCCGTATTCCTCCTCCCCCTCCTCGTCCTCCTCCTCCTCAGTTTCGTCCTCCTCCTCCTCCTCCTCCTCCTCCGTACCTTCTGACTACTCCTCCTCCTCATCATCGACATCATGATGATCAACATCATCACCACCAGCATCATCACCCTTATCATAGTCGTCATCACCATTGCATCAGCATCATCAGCATCATCATCGTCACCATCATATCATCAGCACCATCGGCATTATCATAACCATTATCGTCATCACCACCATCATCATCACCAGCACCACCACCACCAATCCAATATCATCATCATCGTCATCACCACAGCCACCATCATCATCCAGCACCATCATCATCATCATCATCATCAGCAGCAGCAGCAGCATCATCATCATCAGCATCACGATGATCCTCCATTCTTTCTCATTGTGGGTACCTCCTCCCTGTTGCACCCCGAGGCTGGTCGAAAGGTCGGGCCGGGCGTTTCGCCTGAGACTTACTCACCACTACTGACCCTAATGCTTAAACTTGACTCCAGTTTCACACATGAAACGCGGGTGGTTTTCAAAAAGTGGCTCTCGCATTAGCGCCGCGAACATTCGTTTTCAATATTTGCAAGAGTTTCACGGATTGAGGGCGGGTGGTTTACAACATGTGGCTCTCGCTTAAACGCCGCGCGCACCCGTTCTTTAGCAATTGCAAGTGTTGCGCGGATTGAGGGCTGGCCATTTTCAAAATGTGGCTCTCGCCTCAGCGCCGCGCACATTCATTTGAACAAATTGCACACGCTTCACGGGTTGAGGGCGGGTCGTTTTCAAAATGTGGCTCTCGCCTTGGCACCGCGCACATCCGTTTCACAAAATTGCACGAGCTGCACGGATTGAAGGCTGGCCGTTTTCAAAATGTGGCTCTCGCCTCAGCGCCGCGCGCATTAGTTTCAAACATGTATAAAAGTGTCACGGATTGAGGGCGGGCCGTTTTCAAAAAGTGGCTCTCCCCATAGCGCCGCGCACATTCGTTCTAAAATTTTGCCAGCGCTTCACGGATCAGGCTCGCACCACTGCAGCCCCTGGAGGCGACGCCAAGATCATCGAGACGGATCCTGCCACAGCGAGGACCATGCTGGCTAGCATGGCCAAGGCGCATGGCGATGACCGCTCGAGCTGGCCTGACGACTGCAAGCAGCTTGTTGACGTCTGGGACAAAGCTGTGCAGCAGGCCGAACCTAAGGAGGACGAGGTGTTCCAGGCGCCCGACTACGATAACATGTCTTCGTTCCAGCTCGGGCAGCGCATGCAGAGTGTCACTCAGAAGTTGGACAAGGCCAAAGAACGACTACGAGAACGTGAGGCAGAGCTCGAAGCTGCATTGGAAGCCAGAGATGCCGAACAAGAGATCGTGCGCAACCGCGAGAACAGGAGGCAGAAGATCAAAGATGCGCAGGCTGCAGCCTTCATGCGAGAAGCCGCTGATGGAGGACACGCCCAGGCCGCGCATCCCGCTATTGCCCTCTGTGGACAGGTGGCCAGTCTTCAGAAGCGTTTGGGCAAGCCTGAGATGCCTGACGAGCTCGCTGGGCCTCTCAAAGCACTGCAGCAAGCACTTGAACTGCCCGAGAAGCAGCTGGCAGAGAGAGAGCAGCAGCAGCAGCAGCAGCAGCAGCATCAAGAGAATGTTCCCCGTCGGCCTGTGCATGTTGATGATGATGTTGATATGGCTGCAGACATCCCTGTACCTGACGAGGCTGACTACGAAGAAGTCTTCGAGCATGCTGGACTCAAGTTGGATGGGGTCGACTCAGATGAGGAGAGTAGGAGAATCAAGGCCGCAAGAAGCCGCATGCTCGAGGCAATGGTCGCAGTCAACATCGCCGCTGTGGCAAAGCGGCGCAAAACCCAGCCCCCAACTGCAGAACATGCGCAAGACGGTCAGTTGTGAGGCCGCGAGACATGGTCAAGTTGGCTGGGGGCGACAAGAAAACATA